GATCCACATCTGAAAACCTCCTGGCTGTTCCTCGAACCAGACTGAAAACCAAAGGGGACAGGGCCTTTCAGACTACTGCACCCAGACTTTGGAACAGTCTACCTTCAAATCTCCGTCTCTCTAACACTGTAGAGGTCTTTAAAAATCGTCTAAAAACTCACCTTTTCATCCAGGCGTTCCCTCCCTAAATGTTTCAGAATGATGGCTTTGTTCGGGTTCACACCTTCACTTTGTTTTTACTCATGATTTTATTTTCTACGTTTATCACTGCTATTGTTTTTCTGATGTTTTTATTGGTTAGAGGTATTTGCCCTGATCTTTATCATGTTCTACAGCGCTTTGTGATTTATATCTGTGAAAGGCGCTATATAAATAAACTTTTACTTACTTACTTACTTACTATGTACCTGAAATGTGCGAACTAACTTTATGTTGGGACTGAGTGAAGACCAACTGAAAGTACATGAAGCTGCGACTGGAGAGGTGATAAAACACTAGAAACCTTTTTTACATTCACACTTAAATAACTTTGCTGCAGTGGAGACACACTGATCTTATCCATCGCTTACCTTCACTGAACTGCTCTCCAGACCTGGCCCTATTAACCAGTAATCCGCACACTGGCAGCTGGCCATTACCATGGCAACGGTGAGATGGGAGAAAAAAAACTGCTTTCTGGTTTGAACGTAAAAAGGAGCGTAGCGAAGGACGGAGATGAACTCTTTTGTTCTGTAAACTCGTCTTTTTTCATATTTCTGATTACAAGAACTGAATGTGTGATTTTCTCTTGAAGTCTCGTTTAAATGTGATAATGAAATATTTGATGTATGTGGGTTTTTTTTTTTTACATGTGATTAAACCACATTCTAAGGGTGTGAATGTACAGCACGCTTCAGGAATAAATTAAAATCCCTTGTTGTTTATGTTTCTTGATTCTGCATCGTTCAGTTTTCAACACGTCGAACTTAAAGATGAAAAAAAAACTATTATTTTCACTTTAAAAGAGACCAAAACAGGTCACACTTTTGTTTAAAGGCACAAAACTTTGAAATATCAAACATCAATAAAGAATCCACTCAGACGTTAATTATTGGATTAACTAAAGTTTAATCTACTGGTTCCCCTAAACCTAGTTTAAAGAGTAATCTACATTGTTACGTTAAGTTTAAAGCGCAGTTTTATCACTCTTTACATTTAAGCAGCTGGGTTTAGTGGAACCAGTTGACGTAAGTTGGTTAAGTTAATTCAACGTTTCGTTTCTTCGTTGCTGCCGGAGATTCAAAGATCTGGTGAAACTCTGCGACTTTTTGAGTTTGAATGTTACAAATAACACTTAAAAGATGTAATCAGATAAATTATTTTAAAAGAATAAACATCTAAGGATGCCTAATGGTTGATATTAAAGAAAAAAATGGTGCGAATTTCACAAAAATCCCAGTTTGTGACCTCTGAAGATGGTCCCTAAAGCCTCCCCAGTAGGAGATTCCCAACCCCAATAGATTTCCAACCATAAAGGTGTTTGTGGGACTTAATGAGGCATAACTAATGGAGGTCCCACAACCATCCGCACCATGCTGGAAGCACAGTGGCAGGACAGAGCAGCCATTGATTCTTGCTTCAAGCCTCTTGAGTTCCTAATCAGCTTCTTTAGTTGTGCGTTTCAGGCCTGAAAAATCCATTGTTGGCCTGTGTCACTGGAGGTCAGTAGTTATTAGTGGCAACTGAAAACAGTTTCTCCAACTACTTATGAGAAAACTGAATGACATGCAGACGGAGACTTGGAGGGGGATTACTGGCACTGCAGCCAGTCCGGTCGCCCACAGAAGAGAATGTGACATGGGTTTCTAATAAGGGATGCCTGACTCCGCCCACACGCACACACACACACACACACACACACACACACACACACACACACACACACTAACCTGATCCTTCAATCCCTGCTCTCTCTCTGCTTTAAAAGAAATCGTGAACAGCTTACTTTGACCCCACGTGGATAAAATTACATTCATAAGCAACGAAAAAAGCCGCCGGGACTCAATGTCAAAGCGTTTGAATCCACGTTGCTCTCGATTAAAAGTAAAACTGTGATTCCAGGTAGTTAATTTCGTCATCTTTTAGATGCTTTTACGCTCCTCTGACCTCATTCCAACGTTTTATTCTCTCTCCTCCACTTGAATGTGGATTGTTTGCAGGCATTTTGTCTGTTCGAAAACGACTGAAAACTGGAAACTTTTGGGGGGCAACGACTGACACCGACTCATCCGGCAGGCACAGGTTCTTCATGGAAATAAAGAAAAGGAGAGGAATTGAAAGATTCTCCTGGGCAGAACACAAGGGCAACACACTCATTGAAATCTTGCTGTGTGTTTCTCAGAACTTGCCAGCTGAGTGCATTCATTCTCAGACTAAAACAGAGACCCTGTCATGCCTAATCATTTCACACGGGGGCAAGATTTGGGTCCCACTGAGGGAAAACAAGGGGACAAAAGATGTGGAAGTGAACATAATCATGAATCAGAATCATTGCCTTTAATATTGTGTAAAAATCTCATTTAAAGTGTCAAATTGCCATTCTGCATATGTTCATTTGGGGGAAACTAAACCGTTTTAATCATAAACTGCCTTCTTTACTCCCTCTTCTATTTGCTGGAGCCTTATTTGTGTATGATGTTTGTTGTGTTTGGTCAAAGTTTCTGCGTAAGCTAATAATGTGAAGCCCTTGCCAATTAGCGCTCTCTAGGCTGCTAGGTCGCCGTGGTCAATTGAGGAGCACATCAATAGGACTTGAAAAGGTTTCTCTGCGATCAGACCTTCTGACATATTAAGTAGAATAATGGGGAGGAGGGAAAGGAGTTGGGCTGGGGAGAGAGGTGGGGGTCTGCAGCAAGGCTTCCTTCTACATTCACATAATGCAGCGCAAAACCTGCAATTACCTGAGAAGAATAGTCAAAGAAATCCTTTACTGGTTAAACACAATATCCTCGGCTTCATGCTTCGGCTAAACTGTACCTGGCATTGAAGTAACCCCCCCCCCCCCCCCCCCCCCTCCTGACCTGATGGAAGTGCCCGCTTTGTGAAACGGAGGCGATTTTGTTTAACGTATGAGTTGTTTTTGTTTACGAATGCACGAGTGAGAGCATGTGCAGGTTTTAGCGCTAAACACATAAAAACATCACAGTTTGAGTCTGCAGCTCCCAAACTTTCCAGGAAGAAATGATGATGCCAGAACCAATTACAGTGCAAAGCCTGCCTCATATAGCCTTACAAAAAGACCCCACCCCCTTCACCTACCAATAAAGTGAGAGCAGCAACAGGCACAATAGCCAGTGATTACCTAGCATAGCCTATTAGTGCGCTGTAACTACAGCTATTGAAAAGAGAAAAGAATGGCTTCACCTCCACTTTCATTTCACGCGGCCCACCATCAAAAGCTTTGTTGATGCCCTCAATTTACAGACAAAAATCTATCAAACATCTTGCAGCATCAAAGTGCATTTTGTGGAATGCACGACTGGTTTTGCAGCTCTTATCGAGCTCGGTGGAGTTGTTGTGCGTATTTCCAGATGTCAGGTGCATATTGGCTCCGGCTCCTCCTTGGAGTGCAGAGATGATATACATACAGCTGCCAGGTATGCGTGGAGGGGTTTGGGAAATGGACACCCTCCACAGTCTCATTCCAGATACACCGATAGCCACCATCATCATCACAGGGTGTCATCAGCGAGGGGATTGAGAGATTGTTTCCAAATGTGTTTAAATGATGACAGAAAATGAAATGTGAGAAACTATTATTAGCTACAAGCTGCTGGAGGGGAGAAAAGGGGTTTTCTGGGGACAAAAGATGCTAAATGATGACCTGAAACACTTTGGAGTTGATTTCTACAAATTTTGTGCAGAGATGTAGCTAAACGAGAGATGTGCTGGTGTGTAGCTCTGCTTTTGTGAGGGTTAAAGGTTTCAAAGAAATTATTAAGTGTTCATTTAAAGATAAACACATAAGCAATTTTTCCTCACCTTATAGGGGCAATTTATGTATTTATTAAAAAAAAGTAACATAATGGAAATATTGATTCTCATAAACTCATCAGTAAAAATAGAAAAACACCTTGTTACTCCTAAATATTTGATTTTAGTCCCCATCTTGAACACGTAGACAGAATAATCAGAGAATGAGTACAATGATCTGAAAAGCATAAAAACGCATAAAATATCTTGCAAATACAATCTATGTTTGATTTAAATATAGAGGATGTTTAATTTACCTAAATATATATTTTACCTTTAATTACTAACTAACTGAAATTTAGAATAACTCGGATCAAATGAGCAAAAACGAGTGAATTTGTCATTTTACATAATCTGATCATCATAATTATGTCTAGCTAAATTTCAAAGCAAAATGCTATTATTTATTTGTGGTTGAAAGAAATGATGAAATAAATTAAAACATTCACATATTTGTTTATTATAATAATAATAATAATAATAATAATAATAATAATAATAATAATGGTGTAATTATCTTCAATGTAGTATCACAATAAAGAAAGGGGTGTATTCAATGCCTTTAGAAATTATTCTTATTGCCATAATTGGCTCTAATTGTAAATGTAATGAATCCTGGCTTCTATCATAAAATTGACCAATTATTCTGCAGCAAAACGAAGGTCTGGGCATATCAAATAGAACTGAGCAATATGATTGAGGAGTTTACACGGAAATGACAAAATATATTAACAGAGCATTGCATACATTTTTGTGAGTCCTTTTTTTTATTTTGACTGAAAATGCCAAATATGTTTTAAAAGAGGTGATTTCCTGGTCTTGGAGTCTTGCAGAATCCCAGATGAAAGCCAGCCCTCCAAAATGTCACCTGAACAATGCTGGCTACCTCATCGACCTTGCTTTCCAGCTCAATTTGGTCTCAATAACAGCATAATGAAAATGCACTCCAAAAAACAGCTCCCTTCAAAAAAAAATTACTTATTCAGGAATAGCTCTCACACTTCAAGTTATTTATTGTTAACGTTCACTTGGTTTTTGAAACATATACAGCAGCCATTTGTTCCTTTTTTAACTTACAAAAAAATAATAATAAAGAAAAGAAAACTGTGGACGCTATTATGATTATTATACAGTTAAACGCATTCTTGTGTGTTAGCCAAATATACAAGTAACTACTTTATTCAATAAGTCTAAATGAATACATTAGTTTACAATATTATTATGATAAAATACCAAGTTATTACCGCTAAAGGGATGGTGGCTATTTCAGACCTGGCCTCACCGTTTCCCCTAAAGCAGCGTTCCTTTTTTTGTTTCAACAACAGAGACTACGTTCAAAACATCATGAGGAAAGGTCCAAAACATACAAAAGGTCCAGAAACGACGTAGTCAAGGGCGGCCATTTGTGTCATGTTCAAAAATAGGACTCCCCTGCCAGAGATGTCAAGAAAATGTGCCCTGATCGGTTGGTGCGCGTCTGCGCAGCGCGCCGTGTTCATGTGTGCGTGTTCGCATATCAAAAGTGGAAAGAAAAGAGTTCAGGTTGGGGTCCTACCACGTTCTGCCGTACAGGAGGTTTGAGTTGACCATGCTACTGGTGTAATCTACAGCAGACGAGTCCATCTGGGCCATGTTCAGCTGGCTGTGCAGCGAGGGGGGGCTGGGCGACATCTCCTCCAGCTCCAGCGCGCTCACCTGCTGCTGCTGCTGGTTTTGATGCTGGCCCAGGCCGCCGGTCGAGGATGCGAGCACGACTCCAGCTCCGTTCTGTTGTTGGTTCTGTTGCTGGTTCTGTTGCACCTGTTGCTGGTTTGGCGTCGGCGTGTTGGAGCCGTTCTGACACGGTTTACCGTCCTTCACCAGAACGGGCACGGCCACGCGCCGCGGGGACTGCGCCTGTTGCTGGCACAGGTTGCCGTCCTGTTGCTGCTGCAGCTGCTGCGCCGCCTTGTCCTTGGCTTGGCGCTTCATCTTGTACCGGTGGTTCTGAAACCAGATTTTCACCTGGGTCGGCGTCAGGTGGATCATGCTGGCCAGGTGCTCCCTCTCGGGCGCCGACAGGTATTTCTGCTGCTTAAATCTCCTCTCCAGCTCGTAGACCTGAGCCTGCGAGAACAGGACCCGCCGTTTCCTCCTGGGCGCAGCGTGGAGAGCTGGCATGGCTTTGCTGGCGTCCGCCATCCCCGTGAGGCCCCCCATGCCGGTCATGTTCATACCTGTGGAAGGTCCCATGAATCTAGAAACTTAAACATATACATACATATACATGCGTTCAATAAACAGAAGAGGAGAACACAATTTCGCCTGAAGTAGTATTCCTTTAAAATTTTTCAAAATTGATTTATGCAAGATTGAAGTTTAATTAAACGTTTAAAAAGCTTCAATTTAAACATAATAATAATAATAATAATAATAATAATAATAATAATAATAATAATAATAATAATAATAATAATAATAATAATAAAGGATGTTGAATATAAAATAGTCAGAGTTGAAAGAATGATCTCCTTTTCGGTTTAATCCTTATGCACTTTAGCTCTAAATTAGTTAAATATATGTACTTTAATTGTTGGAAGATTGTATTTTAATAAACGTTAAATAATGTGAGTTTTGCGCTTTAATTCTTAATATCTCGATCGTGTTTTTAGGCAGCAATAAAATAAAATAGAACAAAAAGAGAAAACGGCGAATAAAAGGAGAAACTTACTTGTGGAGTATCTTGGATCAGGATTCGCGCTGTACCATCCTGTTGCTGCTGCGCTATTCCGCATGCTTTCCTGGTACGACGGGAGGTCTCCCATGTTGCCAATGCTTCCATTGCAGTATCCCCCCATTGCGCTGTGGGAGAACTGGGAGACGCCGTGCGGCATGTGGTAAGTGGTGGCCACGGCGGCATTGTGGCCCATGGAGTGCTGCTGCATGCCGGTCTGAGACACCTGAGGCTGTCGGTAGGCTCCCAGTGGAGAGGTTAGGTTCCCTGCGCCGTCCATGGTACCAAACTTCTTGTAGGTCTCCTCGATTGGACTCAAAATATCTGTGACTGAAAAAGGCGTTGTATGCTTTGGGCTCAACGACATGATTCAGAAAGCAGGTAGATTTTTGTGTTTGAGCAGATCACCCGTGTTGTTGTATCGGCTCTCTCCTTGGTGGATGTCTACGTAAGAGAGTGCTTGGAGTGCGCCTGAGATCCTATTGATCGCCTTGGAGAAGGAGGCGAGCCCAGGGCGCTCTTAGCCCGGGTTTATTGGAGCCAGGAGCCAGGTTTACGACAAACACAGGGGGCGGGGCAAAACTCCTAAACCTGCAAACAATAGTCATTGACATTTTAGGGGTAATAATTCACGAAAACGCACTTTTAGCCTGATTCCAACCTCTATAAATGGACAAAACCGCGCGTAATTTTTAACGTTTACTGACAACTTTATTTATGCGACTCTTTGGGTTTTGCCCACCAGCTGATCCGACCACATATGACTATTTTGCGTCAGAAGGGAATTCCACACTTTTCAGAAACTTTGAGAGCACTTTGAACAGACACAAGGGCCACCGAGTATCATCAAAGAGCCACAATGAAGTTGTATGACCAGCTCATTTAGTCTTCTTAAGCATCATTTTGCCCCAGCAGAGAGGGACAAGTCCAAATAAGCTCAACATGCTGAAAAGGGGGGAATGGCTGCAGCAGGCATCCAAACAGTCTGCGCAGGCGAAGCGTGTGTGCTATTGATCTCCAATTAAAATAAATATATTTTTCGTGCAAGCGCGCGCTTTGGAGGGAACGTTGCAGGCTTTAATCTGTCAGGTCTATTCTGCATGCGTCAATGCCACTTTGGAAGCCCTGACCCGGCTTTGGAATATTTGTGCAAACTGGCTGGCGCCAGGAGAAGAATGAGAGGAAGAGGGAAACAAAAAGCAGGTCAAGACAAAGAAGACAAAAATGACGAAACTCTGGAGGAAAGTTGAACAAATTAAAATCTCACATGATTCATTAAGACGTTTAATTTTGACTATTCGCCTTTTTTAAACACATAAAAAGTCATTATTTCTGATAAGTATTTCATTAGTTTTGCTGCGCTCCTTTATTCGGCTCTCTTCTACATGAAGCCTCTAATGAAATTTAGTGTGGCATGGCAGCGAGCAGCTACCTTCCCTAATTGAGCAAATGAAGATGTGACATGGTCAGCCATCAATTACCGCGACACAACGAGAAGCCTGGTTAAGTTGATAACCTGAATGCAATAAATGATTGTTCTCATGCATATTTCAGCAGCCTCGTTTCTTTCTCTTCTATTTTTTGAAGCCGTGATAAATTAAAGTGGCTGAACTTTATTATCACTGAGATAGTAAAAGAAGAATAGTTTCAAAGTTGAGGTGATCAGAAAGATGGTGCTCTGCTTCAGAATTCCTACCTGTAAATATTCCCATCTCCTTCAGCCATGTGCGCCTTTTCCCAGTCTTTCGGCTGCGGCAGCGCCGTGTTTCAAGTAGAAAAAAGAAAGGTAGGCCTCGGCTCAGACCCCTAACATTATGTAAATGAGGCAAGCCTCTCAACCTTGTGGATTACTGAGTCAGAGAGCAGGACCCTAGTCCAAAAACCCTCCACATTAGGATCCCATAAAAATCTAGCGCTTGCTGGCTGCATGCGACGCTTCTAAGACGCAGGTTGGTTGACTGATTATTTGTAAATTTAAGTTTTAAAAACAGTGAATGAAATGTGGCGAAAGCAGGCGGGAGTTGGAAGCTCGGATCTACCGTGGAGATGGAAAGATGACCCAGGCAAGGTTGGTTCAAATTGACTTTTACGCACAAATTAGATTTTGAATAAAATATTTAAGAATGAAAATATACTAAAAACTGCTTTTGTTTTTGCAATTACAACATGATGCTGCGTGTTTATCTAAGTGTGTACGAAGCAGTTTGATAAACAGCATCTAAATTAGTCTTTTTACTTCTGCTAAAATAGTTTAGTTTTGTTTAAAATGTGTTTTCTCCATCGATAACTCCTAAATTTGCGCCAAATGTTCAGTTTAATATTCTGAAGATTCCACTAACACAAAATTAGAGTTTTATCCTTAACAAAACATTATAAAAACTAAAATAGGCCAAAAGGCGTGCCATCGGTTCCAGATTAGATTCATATTTACGCATCAACATTTAATCCATCAGCAGCGACTTTTCTGTTGTGGCATGAATCCCCCCAATCAGACCGACACAGCAGATGGACCCAGGCGCCTTGATCCTGGAGAGCTTTCTCCATCTCGTTGATGCGAGTTAAATTCCCTGAGAGATTTGTAGAAATGGTGTAAGGGCCAAGGTCATGACCTGCCAACTCAATCACACACCGGCCGAGCAGAACGCGCGGAAAACACAAGAAATGAGTTAGATGTTCAATAAATAAAAAAACAATAATAATAACTTTTGTAATTTTCCTCTTGTAACTTTCCTCATCTGAGTGTTTTTTTAAATGCGTTATTTTAATACTTTCCTTAAAATGCCTGGAAACATTTGGGAAACAACACTGCTAATCCTAAACACGTCGGATCGAGCCACCAGACGGATCTATCCACGTTTCACTTCGTGCGTAAATTACGCATGCTGCTTCCTTTGTTTAGGACATTCCAGTTCATATGCGCCTTCTTCGTTTGTAAATATGGCAACATTTTAAAGAAAATGACCTTTTCAAACATTTTACGTTTACAGATTAAACGTTTTAAATAACAAATGTAGTAGTTGGATAAATAACTCCTTTGGTCTAAGAGCAAAGATGTTTGGTTAAACTGTAAATAAATAAAATCGTGGGGATTCATGCTTTCTTGCAGCGCAATAAGAAAAAGAAACATTAAATCTTGCGTATTTTCTTTAAGTAAAACAATGAAAAACAACGCAGATCCAGTAGATTGGAGCACGTCTTCATTTTGTTTCCTCCTGCCACGAATTTATCATTTATTCTGTTCTTAAATTCTTAAATTCGTAGTTTTGATTTATTTCTAGAGAAACCCCAGTCCCATGATTTATTGTAACCGGTCTCAAAACTCAATTGTTGCGGACATTTGTGGAGGAAATTCCGCACCTGCGCTCATTGTTGCGCCGTTTAGATCAAATACTTTGTCCCCTCTTAAATTGCCGCGCAGTGTGAGAGTAAAAAAGCGGGCAGGTGCATATCTTTCAGCTGCGCTACTTGAAGCTTTGCGGTCCCTCTGCTGAGTAGGTTAAAGGTCTTCCCAAGTGGGGAAAGTATGTGGCAGACCTCTTGAAGGCCGTATTCTTCTGCAGGAGTTTGCATTCAGTCGCAATTAATGTTGCTTGATGAACGAAATGATGCTAATAGAGCGCCAAAAATACAGATTATGGGCTTTAATGGGATGCTGGGCATAATCCTGCAACAAAAATATGGAGAATTTAAGATTTCAGTGTAGATTAATAGGATTAGAGCATGTGATTGTTTCATAAACATTAAAGTTTATCAGAAGAGATTAAAGTTTGGATCAACAAAAATATCAGAAATGCAGGAATCATTTTTGTGTTTAGAAACATGGTAAGTTGAAAGGAAGTATTTCTGTAACACTTAAAATGTTTTTGTAATTTTTTTCTTTAATTTCAATCAAGAGAAGCAAAAATTGTCTTTAACCTAAAATTTTACAATGTTTTTTTTTATCTTTAGTAATGCGTGAATAAAAAAGGCAAATATGTTTAAGAAATTAAAAAGTACATCAAATAAGTATAAAACCTATGGTTTATTGTTGATGCATGAAAATAGAAAATGGCCCAAACTGGGGTCACTAATTACACTGAAAATCCAAAACAACAAAATCAATCAGAAGAGAGAATAACTGCAGTCACATCTGTTAATTTAGACTTTTCAAACCAAACCTTCAACAAATAAACACAAAAGTAGAAAAGCTCTTATTTTTCTAATAACTTCAGATAATTGGGTGTGAGATATACCTTTAAGGTCGTAATCACAGAAAATAAATTGGAAAAACACTTATGTAATAACATCACTGGACTCTTGTTTTGGTTAATAAAAATGAACCTTTTGGACATAAGTGCACAGGCCCTCCTCTTTTGTGTGCAGAGTGGTAACATTTTAGCATGCTCTCTTTTTAAAAACACACGTTGCTGCAGATCCATGCAGAACAAAGCGGGCTGTGCTTGGATCCAAGGGTACCTGGTTCGACCACTTCTGGGCTGCATTAATTGTGTCAGCAGGAAGGGCACGTAAACAAAGCTGTTGGAGAGAACAGTTGTGACTCAACCATATGTGGCTTTGCCACCCAGCTACTCATTTGGCCCAATGCATCCACCGCAGTTCCTCTGTTTGCCCTTCAGAGCACCCATTGGTGCACTGGAATTATGTTTTCAAATCCTGACGTGAATCATTTTTAGGTCTCAAACGCTTACAGAAAATCACAAAGTGCTTAAAATAATTTTGCATGAAACTGAGAGATTTTATTAAGTTTAGACCAAGTTGAGGCTGACTTGTTTATTTGTGCTTCAATTTCTGTCAAATCACATTTTCAGCTTTAAATGTTCCGATATGGGGTTTAAAAACAAACAGAAACCAGTGAAAAAACACACATTTGTCTAGAATACATGCAAATAACTTCAATAATTTTATGCTGACAGTCATTTATTCAGATTAATAAGTCAGAGCATGTGCATGTGAGACAGAAACTTTTCAAATCATGGATGGAAATATGAGCGCTGGCTGCATCTCAATGAGGTGTTTTTACCTGTTTGTCCCCACTTTGGGACGCTTTTATCCTGCAGGCCACCTGACAGCGGCCATTATTTAGATGAACACGTCGCAAACCTACTTCACATCCCGACTGATGCAAAATTGTTCCACGTAAAATTTGAAAGTTAAATCAGATTTTCACTTTGAGAAGGGATTAAGATTTTATGTTTCAGCTTTTGTCTCCAGATAATTAGTTTTTCTTTCATTAACTGGTTGAACTGAAGCGTCAAGAGTCAGAAAGGATTAGAAATCATTAAAAAATGTTGTTGTAAATCAAATGTTTTATTTTCTTATGATGTCTATGGAGTTATTTATAAGATTCTTCACATTTGTCCTAATTTCAGCTAAAAAATCTGCAAAATAAAAAAAAACATCTTTGTATTTTTCTAAATGAAAATCCTCTGGATATTATTGCTACACTAATTATTAAATAAATAAATGTAATGCATTAAAATCTAATAATCCTTTATTAATTTGGTCAATCTGATGAATATCTAAATTATTAGCTGTATTTATTTACTATTTTTTAGCAAAAAAATAACAAATACAATTAAAATGAAATAAAAGGCTGGATTTTGTTTTCTAATGAATTTGTTTTCATTCTCTCTCTGATTGTTTTGCACGACCACCATTTCCAGCGTTTCCAGCGTTTCCGGCGTTTCCGGCGTTTTGCCAAACCAAACTAAACCAAACCCGTTCAGGGGGAAGTGAACGCTCTGCCAGTCCTCGAGCATCAGAAAGCTTGATTTAAGTTCACTTATCAACTCAGAGTTGTTGGCATCGACATGATCTGACAGTAAATAAATAAATAAAAGCTCCATCAGACGAGCCACTAAGTTACAGATGTTGGTAACAAATAAAGCAACACCTTGTTGTGTAAAACAAGTAAAACAGAAAAAACTCAGCCATTTTATTATTATTATTTTTTTTTTTTACAAATCCAGGATGTTCTCTAGAGGTGTTGTTGTTTCATTAAACAAAAAGCTGTGATTCTGCAGAGATCAGATTTAATATGTGGCTGGTGAAATCTGTGTTCAAGTGGGAAGCAACAAACTAAAACAAGACTACATTTTTTAGCTTAAATAACAAAAAGTGCTAAACTTTTCAATATGTTGTTGCAGTTTTTTCCAAACAAATTGAGTTTATTCTAACAAGTATAAGGATTTCAAGCTTCTTTTTAGATATAATTGCATTTTTCCTAATGAAATCTGAGATGATTTAAATCAGTCAGCTGTTGAAATTATCCTGTGAGGTAGATGTAAGAATAAAAAATTAACAGTCTTATTGTCTGTGTAAATGTCTAAAACCCCCTCATGTTTGTTTTCTTCCAAGAACTCAGATGTTCTTGCAAACCTTTAAAATAATCTAGTTTTTCAAACTATTTTCAGATCGGCCATGATGGTTCTTTTAACTCATTTTGGATCGTTACCCGGCACAACGGCTCATTAGTGGCTTCAGTTTTAGGAAACTGGACAAAAGGATGAGAAAAAGCAAGTGTGACCAAAATAATCAACGTTAATACAAGGAAATCCTGCAAAGACGAAGGATCTGAGAGCTGCGTGTCCTTCAGCTGTGGCAAGTCCTGAGCGGGGATCAGCTAGCTGGTGCTAAAAGGATGTTGTTCTGACCCAGAGCGTCACGTGTTTTCATGATTTGAACAAAATGATTACAACACATCAGATAAAGGGAAAGTGGAAATGAAAAACTTGTTCTAATATGCGTCGACAGGAGCTTTTAATTGCTCGAATAGTTGTCAAATCTTTTCCCAAACTCTGAAGTGAGTAAAAACAAAAAGCGTTAAAAAAACCTTCCTGAACGTCACTTTATGAAGACTTTTCTACCTGAGTTTTGCCGTCTGTCCCTTCCAACTGGCTTTTTAGATGTTTCTTTTTGTTAAAGTTAATACTAAACCTTTGATCCACATCGTTAAAATGTCACAATGTTCTCGGGAATGATCAGATCTTCTCAGTCCTTCACATTTATTAATGATTTACATTTTAATCCCTTTTTATTTAGATGAAGAACAAAGCTAAAGAAGTACCATCAGAACAAACCAGGCTGGAAATGAACCCAGAAGGTTTTTACTATCAACTCTACAATGAATGTAAAACTTTAAAGCAACTTATTTTTGCTCAGCTGCTTTGACACATTTCTATGAGACCATTTGATGCTGTCCCTGCTGAGTGTCTGACTGACATGTTTTGAGGGAATAACAAGTCATCCTGACTGGATGCAGATGGCTCTCCTGTTTGTTGATTTAGTCTTGTCTTGTTTCAGTGCTTCCTTTTGTCTGGAAGGATGTCAGCTGTCTGTGCCCGACCGTCTCTGAGTATGCTTGATGTCATATTGTCTACCTGATCATTACGCTAGCTGCTCTCCTCTACAACGCTGCCCTCTCGCTGCTCTGCCACTTGAAACGCTTGGCTGACCTCTTCTCTGAAACCATCACCAAATTGTGGGCTAAAACGCAGCCGACTGTTCCTCTTCTCTCCTCCCTGCAGCTGTAAGTGCAGGAGCCACGAAAAGATTCCTCCACTCAGACGACGACTCTCTGCTGCTGCCGCTGCTGCTCAGCCAACAGGAAAACCAACAGTTCATCCTTCAGCGCCCGATGCCGTTTACTTCTCCTGCTTTTATTTGTTTCATTGTTGTTTTTAGTTTGCTTCCGTGCAGATTCAAAGGTAAATGCTTCTAATGGATGTGCACCTTTAAAAAAAGTGTTCAGACTGTCAACATTGCTGATGGAAATAAAGTTGGACAAACAAGAAAAATATGAAATAGAATAAAAAATGTGCGGATTTGTTTGTGTTGCTTAAAACGTTTGTCTTTGACCTGGCTTTTAATGTTGGTTGATCTGTGTAGCTATTCTTGCACTTTTTATCGTTTTACTGAACTAGTATTACTTGATCGTGTAGTTATTGTTTTACTTTCAACGTGTCGTTTTACTCATGGTTTTGTTATTTTTATTGTCTGCTTTTTGTCTTTGTAACGTGTTCCTTTTTGGGTGTGTTTTATGTGATATTGTTACGTACAGTAACAGTAAAGCCGGGGGCACACCAGAGACAGACGCGCCGCGCCGCCATTTTAAATAGAAGCCATTATTGTTAGTGAACGGCTACACGACGCGGCTGTTTACAACATTGTAGAGAAATTTACAACAGACATGACGACACAGAATGGCTTCATGACACAAACCTGTTAAGTACTATTGATCTTAAAATATTCTAATAAATGGCATGCTTACCCATTTTTAATGAATTAGAGTCTCTCAAAGCACGACAGCAAGTCTGAACACGTAAAAATAAAAGTCACTTTCCCGCGTGATTCTGTAACTATTGCTCGACTTTCCGCAGGGGCGTGTCCAGATCTTTTAAAATGGGGTGGCCCAGGTGAGGCACAACTTTGTGCATGGGTGGCACCAACGGTTATGCTTTTTTTGTTTTACCCCCAAGCCTTTTGTGGACAATAAAAATCCTGTTTAAAGGTATTAAAATTAAATTTTGTGTGTTGGCACCTGGGGTGGCCAATCAGATTCCAAGGGTGGCATGTGCTACCCCAGGCCACTCCCTGGACACGCCCCTGACTTTCTGAGAGGTGCTCAGCAGCGCGGCTGTCTCCGGTGTGCGCCAGGCTTAAGTGTGCTACAGAAATATACCTGACCTTGATCAGCTGCTTAATCTGATAAGTTACATTTCCTTTAAAAAAACATGCAGACCAATTTCACTTAAAATAATAAAGAGGTAGGCAATGCAGGTTGAATCCAATAATGAGTACAAAGTAAAATTCAGTTTAATGGAAGTTACTCTAACTGAGACACACCAGTACAAAGTACCAAGAAGGTTTCTTACTGAACTATCATTAATGAGTTGCATATTCTTAAAGTGACAGTGTCTAACTTTCCTGGCGACAGGGGGCAGTAAATACCTAAATCGGTGCACGCAAGCAAAATTTGTGTTGGAGTAAGACCTTGCTCACGGATGCCCATTAGGGTCAAAAAGCCCTGGGGAGTGCTAAATAACAAGCACATCAGACTCCCTTTAATCGCCGACAACAAGTGAAGAGGTAAATGTGTAAAACAACAACACTGAAGAATGACAAATGTTTGTAACCATTTGTTACAAATCAGCAGATGCATTTTGTCCTCATGGGCTCCCGTAGATGGAAATATGGTGTCTCCCAGAGACTTAGACCTGCTCCCATGAATTTTAGACCTGATTTTTATGGTTATATGTTATAAAGCCGCCAATATCTTTCAACCACTGGGCATCATTTCATTCATTTTTAACAAAGTTTTGATGGATATTTCCAGAAATTAATGGTAAAAACTACGTATCATTTCTTTAAGTAGTAGTAAACAGTAATAGTAACGTTAACTAAAATGAATTTTACTTAGTACACTAAAATGGTTCCAACATACTTACTTTTTTCTTGTGGACCATTATTTTGAAGACCAAGTTCCCTGAGAAACAGTTTGTGATTTTTGAATGATTGTCACTCTGAGTTTAGATGTGTGGTTTACTCGTTTCTTCAACACATTTGCAGTGTTCTGTAGTGTAAATGAATGCCTAATGAGCCATCAAATAAAAAGCTATGATGCTCCTGTTTATAGATGCAGAGGTTTGCTGGTGCAAAGGTGGGCTGAAAAAAACAGGATTACTCATTGATATTAATCATATGCACCACCTTCAGGGTTCATTTCAAGATCCTGGTTCTGGTCTAAAGGGCCTTAAATGGGCAAGCACCATCTTACATTGGTGATCTTCTCAGTCCCTACACCCCCAGCAGGTCCCTGAGGTCCAGTGATCAAAGCCTACTGGTTGTGCAGCACCAGGCTAAAGACCAAAGGTGACAGATCATTTGCTGCTGTGGCCCCCAGACTCTGGAACTCTCTCCCCCTGAGCCTGAGATCAGTGGACTCAGTGGTCTCCTTTAAAAAGCAGCTGAAGACACTTGTTCAAGCTGGCTTTTGTATGACCTTCTTCACCTCTCTCTCTTTATTCTGCTCTCCCCACCTATTCCACCTTCCTCAGGATCCACTGATTTCCCTCTTTCCTATTCACTTTCTCTCTTTCTTTACATTTTTTAAATCATAATTGTCTATTTTTGCTCATTTAAAAGATATTTTTAACCATTTTCTAAATTCTTTTTTATATTTTTACATTTCTTGTTTTTGTGAAGCGCCTCGTGATTTTTATCATGAGAGGTGCTATAGAAATGATATTTTCTTCTTCTTCTTCTACCTCTCTTCTGATTGGCTAACAGAACACATTCAGCCATGTTGCAAAGTCACTTGCTGCAAAATTTTTTAAAAGCCTTCCTGTGGGCGAGAACGAGTCACGATGGATGAGGCCATGAATGCTAATTCACAGTGTGACATAGACATGTGAGGATTTAAAAAACTGTCTATTTTCTATCAGAGGCTAGTGTAGAAATAATACTTAAAACATTCTTTCAGTCAACCACACCTTTAACATGCAGGCAAACGTACCCTTATTTCCTGCTCCAGCCACTGATACAAATAGACTGAGAAAAGCTCAGATTAGAGATGCCACATAGATCTACCTCACGCAGTAAGTTAGCATTCATAGACTCACGCTCAAGATGGCGGCAGTCAGTGCTTGTGGTGTGCCGTTAATCTCCTGCCCATCACTCTGTGCCTCTTTTTATCTCCTTTTTATTGTGTATTTTTTTTATATGGATTTTGTGTCTACGCTACCAACCTACGATCAATCTACTTTCTTGGAGCTTCGATCAAATGGTGTTTGGGGGTGGGGGGGCACTTGTCTCCAAATATCTCAACTGCAAGTAGATCCCTTTGCTAAATCCAGCCTCTAGTTTTGAGGTGTGCTCATTTGAGTTTGGGCCTTCTCCCTTTCTCTTTGTGGCACCGTTATATCTCCCTCCTAATTTGGCTGTGGACTTTTTAAAGGGGAGCTGTTGCCTTGCAGCGAGAAGGTCCTGGGTTTGCTTCCCAGCCTGGGATCTTTCTGCATGGAGTTAGCATGTTCTCCCTGTGCATGCGTGGGTTCTCTCCGGGTACTCCGGCTTCCTCCCACAGTCCAAAAACATGACTGTTAGGTTAATTGGTCTGTCTAAATTGTCCTTGGGTGTGAGTGTGTGTGTGCATGATTGTTTGTCCTGTGTGCCTCTGTGTTGCTCCACCTGATTGCCCATTGACCGCTGGAGATAGGCTGGTGCCTATCAAGAGTATGGTGAGTACCTTTCACAGGTCAAAAAGCAGCAGCTTGCTTTATTTTATACGTATTTATTTCTTTGTTTTCTATCATTTTTTACATAAAGTACTTATCACTGTGTTCAGTATTGAAACAAGAACGTGGTCGCTGCTTTGTCCTCCCAGTTTGGCTCCCCAGGCCTGAGGTTACATTTTGAAATGAATGACCATCATTATAAGGTCAGTGTACTCCATGGTGAGGATTACAGAGAAGAGTGGCGTAAATAAGACCAATGTTTATCTCAGTGACGAAGCAGTCGCTGTCGCGATGTGAGCTAGGAGGAGGTTTGGACCCAAAATGCAGAGAACCAGATGACACGAGGCAGGAGCGATTTATAAAGTAAAATCCCTTTATTTTGATGGGAACAACAATAATCCAAAGGGGCAGGAAGCCAAAAACCAATGTCCTAAGATCCTGGAGACCCAAAACTCAAAATCCAAAAAGGGGCAGGAAGCCAAAAACATAAATCCAAAATCCAAATAAGTAAAATCCTTGAGACCTAGAGACTAAGAGCTCCTTTTTAGAGCAGACCTGGAGATATCAAAACCTAGAGACAAGAGAGGGAACGAGACAACGCTGACGACAAACAATGGACCGACAAAACACTGATGCCCTGTCCACACGTAGCCGGGGATCTGCCAAAACGTAGATATTTTTCTACATTTTGGCCTGTCATCCACACGAAAACTGAGTTTTTTCACACGAAAATGGATCTTTTTAAAAACTCCAGCCAAAGTGAAGATCTGCTTTTTCTCCGTTTTGGGAATCTGCGTGTGGACAGACAAAACCGGAGTTTTAAGGTCCGCAACGTCACTTTCCGCGACAAAAAATGCTGACATCACGTGTGCGAGCTGTGTTTACACTAGCCGACAGCATGGATGCCCTCAGAGCTGCGCTCGCTTTATCAATTGTCCAAGCGCTTTCTGCTTGTTTGTTTTTGCAAGCGGAATTACTGCTCCTCGCGGAAGACCACAGACGAAGGACGAGGTTAAGAATGGGGGAAGTACTGCCGCCTACAGGTCTGGCATGTCCTTAACAACGTATTTATCCGGGTACGTGTGGACAGAGTTTGTTTTTAAAACGAGGTGGTGTGGATGCAAGTTTTTGGAGGGGCGGATATTCGTTTTTTTTTTTTAAACCCGGCCACGTGTGGACTAGGCTTGAGACACAGACAGGGTTATACACACTGGAGATGATGAGCGGGAGATGAACTGCAGGTGTGTGGGGAGAGAGAGACCAGGTGAACTCAGTTACTAATCAGGGAGGAAACTAACATGACCTAAGAATAAAACCTAAAGACAAGAAGGGCAGGAAACATAACTAATAATCTAAGGGGGGGGAACCTCAAACACCGATGGAAAGAACACACTAAAGAGACTAATAACATGAACAGCTGTAACTAAAGGAATATGATCTAAGATAAAAACCTAAAGACCAGAAGGGCAGCAAACATAACTAATATTCTAAACTCATTAGTTTTATTTATTAGTGTTTCTGTTTAACAGTAGAAACATATAAGTCTGACTTCTACCTAAACTTTTACATGATTTATGTATTTATTTAATTACTTTTGTCAGTTTGTGATGACTTTGTAAACTTTTGGACCCTCTCATTAATTAGGTACATAATGAGCAAGCCAGGTGGGGCTTGCTTTGTTTTTGTTTGTCAGATGTCAGCCGGAGGTGATGGGAGGGTTTTGAATGATTTTTTTGACCACTTTACAGAGATTTTATTGGTTGGTTTGAGTTGGATTTCGTGGATTGCTGGATGATTTTGAGTTACAATTTTGTAAGAAATAAATGGAATATATTTTTGAAGAACTGAAGTCTGGAGTGCGTGCCAATCCTAAACCCACCTGTTGCCACCCACGGCCTTTTTTCTTTTGGTTGATTTAGTTTGGACGATAAAAAGCTACTCTACTCTAACGCCGGTTTCACACTGGAAGCATCAGCGGCACAAAACGGCAGCGGAACGGTTTACTCATGAACTTCAAAGCGGTGCTTTCACACCGAGAGAGTCTTGGTAGCGGCACGGCTTCCTCGCTGTGCTCTTCGCTGGATTCGCAAGATCACACAATCCCTCGAGACTTCAGGTCAGGGTTTGTTTATGCAATCCGCCATTAAACCAAAACGAAGGAAATCCAGGAATAAAGTCATGGAAAACACACTGCTGCTCTCATATATATAGATATCTATATATATATATATATATATATATATATATATATAAACACAACAAGCCTCATATAAATGAAGTTGCATCACTGCAGTACTTTTATTTAGAAATTTACCAGTGATTTTATACTTAAACCGTGTGCGATTTCCTGTCCAGCCCCATGTTAACTGTGGCATTGATGCGTCCCAGAAGCAGTACATGACACAAGTTAAACCCGACCCCATCTTTAGCGGCGCGGCGTGCCGCTTCTGGGACGCACCTGGAAAATGCCGCGTCGCTGCTGGTTTGAAACAATCCATAGACTATAATGGATTCTGTTTGAAGCGGTGACGTCCCGCTGCCGCTCCACGCCGCTGATGCTTTCAGTGTAAAACCGGGGTTACTCTAATCTCCAAATGCCCGTAGCTGTTTGTGCAAACCATTCATTATGAAGTTGATGTGAAACATTAGCTAGCTCATCAGTCTGATAGCTATCTACAACAGGGAAGATATTAGGAGATCATTTTTCTATGCAACCCCACTTTGATGAATGAGTGATGTCTGTATAGACCCAGATAACGCCTTCGCTATTTAGCTAACTTGTTATTTGCTTTCAAAGATATATTCATCTCTCATGAACTGGCTGTAATCCAATCTCCATAAATAGAAATCAAGAGGTAAAATCCACCAGAGCAATAGCTTGGACTGTCCATGCGTCGCCTCTGAGGCTGCAGAGATGGACCTGGACAACATTTTAGGATGGAAAAGATTTGGATTGAGGTTACAGCATCATCACAGAAGACACTTTAGAATTTGTTTCATGCATTCATATTTTTGTCCACGCACACAAAACACAGATTCAGCATCGTTGTGTGTGTGTGTGTGTGTGTGTGTGTGTGTGTGTGTGTGTGTGTGTGTGTGTGTGTGTGTGTGTGTGTGTGTGTGTGTGTGTGTGTGTGTGTGTGTGTGTGTGTGTGTGTGTGTGTGTGTGTGTGTGTGTGTGTGTGTGTAACATTTCTTCACACACACACATGGACACATACTGCCACGGGTGATTTAGGATTGCCCTAGCATATATGCCTGTTTTCGGTCAGGAGTGCCTTGATTAAAGCCACACCTGCATGAGGAGAACATTTTGGCTCCATGCAAAAGGGCCACAACCTAGCCTGGCAAGCCAGACTAAATTAATGTATTATTTTGTCTGGCCATGCTCCAT